ATATATTTTTATTGTTTATCTGTAGTGTAGTATGACTGGGGGTTGGGTGGGCAAGAAAATACAATTTCAAAAATCTATGCACGTCACATTTTCTTAAGCTGTCCGCTGGGCTGGATTGGAGTGCTCACCAGGCTGATTCTGCCTCCGGGCTTTATGTTTGACACCCCTGCTATTAATGTTTTGTACCAATTAAAAGGAAGATAATTGGTGAGTTTCTGAGGTCTTAAAGAAGCATGTTAGCATGTTTCAGCGTTTGTGCTAAACTAAACTAGCTAGCCACTAGCTGTTGCTTCACAAACTGTATGCAGAGAAGTATTAATCTTATTTTTTTACTCTTGGAAAGAACTCAAACGAGCCCAATTCCCAAAACTATTCAATTAAGCAGCAGACTGAAAAGGAATACTGAAAAAAAAAGATCACGGCCACTTTGTTCAGGCTCTCAGATGTCACGTTCCTACAACAATGACAACCGTCCTTAACTGCAGAAAACTGACTCCACAGAAGCGTAGTATACCTGACGGATTAATGTTCCGGCTATGGGGGTATAATTTTTCTGCACTGCACTGCAGCATGCAGAGGCGCTCACCAAGTGAGGGAATTGTGTTAGTATTGGTTTCAGTGGAAAGCCTCGGTGCCTCCCTGCCAAGAACAATGCTACGGGTAAAGGGAAGTGGTGCAGTGTGTCATAGTGTGTAGAGTACCCAGTATTTTCCTGTGAATCACCACAAAATTTAACCTACAGTTTGACCAGTGTACGTAGAGCCACTGTGCAGTCAAATTTGTGGTTCTCCCATGTTTCTCAGGTGATTGTATTACATTAAAAAAAAAGCTAGTGACACTGGTATGAGTCACACCTTTGTCCAGGCTGTGGTGTCATGGCATTGAATGTCTCCCTATATATTTGTTTTTCAGCATTAAGTGAGTTGTTTCTTTTCCATTCATCCTCCTACACAGCTTTCTTCAGGGAAGACTTACTGCCAGTAACAGAAAAGGCAGCTTTATCATTTCAGTTGACGCCTACTCTTCTTTCCTCCATATCCCCCCTTCCACACACACACACACACACACACACACATTTATTATTAGTCGTGTGAAGGAGGAAGGGCCTCAGCAGCATGGTGCCTGGTGAAAATCCTTAAGTCAGATATCACAGTGCTTTTCATTATGCACAAAGCAGTTAAATGGCTCTTTGTGTATATGTTCTGTCGTATATACACACATTTTCATCATTTAGTGCCATAGGTGCTTCTACTCCTCACTTATCTCCTCATTCCTCCGAGTACCAGAGGGTGTATTTTTACTTCTGATTGAACCTGACGTCTTAAAAGCTTTTTTTGCACGCTTTTAAACATTGATCTGTTGTTGGTCAGCCTGCTTTCAGACTATCTGTCTTGTCAACATCCCTCCTGCGGCTGTGCATTCACCATCAGCTTCATCCATGTGCATGTGTGGGCTGCGTTTCTGTCTTTCTGTGTATGGTTTGGAAAGATTTCAAAAAACTGTTTTCATAAAACGTTTGACAAGATTGCTGACAATTATGAACCTTTTGATCTGACGTTGTATATCCAAAGTATTGATATGTGCTTCTTTTTGAAGTTTTGCAAAATTATATTCTGCTTTTTAAAAATCAAAATGAATGTGCACAGGCAAAAATTATACCATAAATCAAGGATTTCTTTCATCTGCAATGAATTGGACTTGCGATAATACCACAAACAGCTGGAGGGAAATAAGCTGAAAGGTTTACGTCAGTTTTCACAGAGATTTTTGTTGCTAATCCTAAAAGTCCTTTTTTTCCTATGTGTATTATTTATTAGATGTTGAGTTTAGTTTGCTGACATATTAAACTGTTGCATTCTGCTAATCGCAGCTTTTTAAAATTTTCTATCATCATAAACTGAAACTCTTCTAGCTTTAAATCATTTTTTTCTTTTAACTTTTTCAAAAAAATATGTAAATGTCTATTATGTTACAACAATCTTCTGAATTTTATCATCAATGTCATCAAGGCTGGTTTTGTGGCACTACACATAGCTTGCGCATGCTTATTAAAAATGTAATGTAGAACTTTTGTCATAAAAAAAGAACATGAAAATATTTTATTTAAAAAAATAGCAGCATTCAAAATACATTGAAAGAAGAAAGCCTCCGTAAGTTTTATACTGCGGAAAAAAAATAGATTTGCCACCTAATGGCAAAGATCCTAGATTTAGATCATGGCTGGCGTCTAATCAATAGCTTTATAGCTCTGGATCTATCCAATTTAGTGAAAAGGAATTCATAAGTTGGGTGTTTCCTCTAGACAGCGAGCCAGTCAAACAAATGTACTGCATGAAAGTAGTGTCTTTGGCAGAGGCTGCACTTTAGCCATCAGAAAGTGAATACGTGAGTGCAACCTTTGCCAGCAGCTCGTAAATCGATATCGCTGTTTTAAAAAAAAATCACCACACTGCCAAATTTATAATTTCTTTACATTTGAAGACACACCTTTTTAATAGTCTACATTTACGACAAAATAATATCAGAAGCACATCTTGGTAGGTACCAATAAATATTTACTTTTTGGCCTTGAGTGTGAAACGCGACACAAAATAACACGAACACGTTAAATACAGTGTGAGGCTGCAGCTTAGTTTAATATAAAATATCAAACAAAACAGCAGCAAGCCTGTTTCTGTTCACAATTATGGCTAAAATATGGCTCATATATCTTGTATATTAATGTTCTCATTCTGTGGCAGGAAATACTGCTGCTGGCATCACAGAGATACACAGTAGTTTTCTTTTAAAGAGCGCCAAAGGCAGAGTTACACGGAAGAGGATT